GTGATTTAGACTTCAATTGATACTTAAAGCCAAGGGTGCAGTAGTGATGTCATTGGTTAGTCAGCCAATCCGATGCAGTTGTCTACATCAATACCTTTTCTGGTTTTTATTTTGTTGTTTGCCCTTTCCTTTATCACTTGCATTTTTTTATATATATATATAATTTTGTAAAAGAATGATGTGTAATGATTTGTTGTTGGTTGAGCTTTGTTTCTCCGTTAATCTTAGTTGCTTTTTTAGTTTTTGTTCTGGGTGTGTGAAAGAGAAGGGAAAGCACATCTTATGCACTGAGTTAAATGTTAGACGTCTGAAATCTGCTCTACAGACATTTCTTTCTCTCATGATAGTGTGTGAGTTTGTGTCCTATGACAGCAAGAATCCTCACTAGGAAGCTTTTGCTGAGGCCTCTCTTGAAACCCAAAATGAAAACTGTCATAATTTACTCACCCTCATGTCTTTCAAAACCTGTATGCTGGTATTTTTAGGGGGACACAACAACTGTCAGACTCCAAAAAGGACAAAAAAAATCCTTATTCCAAGTCCTCTGATGCTTTTATGTGAGAAAAGGAGCAGCATGTATTGTTTGTGTTCCTGTTAATCTTCCTCCACTGCAGCTTTCAAATCCGGCAGCGGCACATTGACAGCAGACCTGGTGCAATAATATGCCATTTTCCTAAGAGTTTCGAAGGCGAAGAAGATTAATTTCAACTGAAAAAAAAAATTGAAAACTTAAATTTTTTTTTTTTTCCTTTTTAGAATTTGCATGAAGATTCTATGTGTTCCAATAAGAAATAAAATCACACAGATTTGGAATGACATTAAAGTGATTAATGATGACACAGTTTTCATTTTTGGCTACACTGTCCTTTTAAAGTCTCGTACAAAGACACACACAAACAACCTTCAATTTCAGTAATGTTTTGATAGAGATTTCTGCATTTTTAATGTCTTTCTTCATATACTGTGAAGGCATTAGTAATGTGAAATGCAAAACCAGTGCTGTGAATAATTTTGTATTTATTTTTAAATGCTTAGAGAATTTCCACTGTACCATAAAGACAGTCCGTTTTCTGTTTTCAGTCCAAACCTCAGTGTTTCAAAGGATCGGTTTGCGTGTGCAAGTGTGTGTGGTCTTTCTGTTGTTGTTTGTGCCCCCTCTCTGGAGATGATGTGACGCTCCTCTTAGCAGCCTGCAGTTCGTGAAATGTTGTTCTCATGTCTGTCCACTAGATTGTGCTCATTCAGGACATAAATACATTCCCTCATCATGCTCAGAATGGCTGATTTGCCATTTAAAATTGTTCATGTTTTATTTTATGAGGGATATCTACCGTTTTATATTTAGCTAATTATTTACTGTGCATTTTTTATTATTTGCATTGTCAAGAGCTTTAAAGCTACAAAGGACCATTTTCAAGTAACATAAGTTATATTGTTTTTTTTTTTTTTATCTTGTTTTATTGAGCACCAAAGTTAGTCAGGGAGGAAAACTGACCTTTTTTTTCTTCTGTTTTGTTTATAAATTGTACCGATCTGTCACCCTTCTCAAAAGACTGATCATAAATGCACTTGTCTTTTGTCTATTTCTGTTCAGTACTCAGGAACAACATGCAGAGGCAGATGAGAGAAGGGAAACTGTGTGTGTGTGTTGATGTAGAGGTGTGTGTGTGTGTGTGTGTGTGTTGGTGTAGAGGTGTGTGTGTGT